ATGTACATATGTACATACATATACATAAAACTAATTTATTCTGATACATAGGTAATATAGAAAAAGGATTTTTTCATATTTTTCGCTTGTTTCTCTAATATAATTATTATAATTACTAATATCGCGCCAGTGAGGAAACAGAAGCCTTAATAAAACGGAAAAGAAAAATTATGTCTATATGTGAACATATGAGTGAGATCGATTGAAGCTGATGAACGCTTGTGCTTCATTCAATTTAAAATCTACATTTGTATTATAAAGTGAATATAATTAATTATAAGATTATAATAACGTAATTAATGGATTTATGAATTTTTTTCAAGTTTATGCTGATTAAGATTGCATTAGTAATTATATTGCGTGTTATATTGAGAAGAATTTACAAATTTTGAAAGAGAGTTATCTGATATTCTCATTGATGTAGCATTTTAACGTATTATTATTATTATTATTATTATTATTATTATTATTATTATTATCATCATTATCATTATCATCATCATTATCAGTAATCAAATCTTTTTTGCAAGGCTTTGTCACATAACTGTCACCAATTACGTCTCTCCTAACAATAATACAATATTGTTGAGATTGTATGCCATGTCTTTGTAGATTATTAAGGTCTCGTAATCTACGCCTGTACACACATGCACACAAAAACACATAACACAAACATAGATGCATACACATGGCTTGATTTCTGCACATTAGACACGTTAAAAAAAAATATTATAATGTTGTAGAGCTCATAGATGTGTATTATAATGTATGTATGTATGTATGTATTATGTGTGCTGCGCGCGCGTGTGTGTACGTGTGATACTTGATATGTATATATGTTTGTATGTATGATACGGTATGTATTACAGGCGTATTACGGTAGACCGAGCAATTGGCGTTTGAAAAAAAAAAAAGAGGAAAAAATAACAAGCCAGCAAAACCTTTGTGTGTTCGTAGCAAATATTGGCTACAAATTTTATATACGGCTATATCTTCCACCATTTGGAGGATATATATCTAAGTGTTCACTGTGGTTCATAGAATTATGGCAACGGATCGTAAAAAGTAGTCACTTAAAATGCGTTCATATTTCGATTTAAGGCGGAACATTGAAGGCAAATTTTTGTTTTCGGTACACATCTACATACATTGTTGTGTGACTGTGCGCGAAATATCCAAAGAATGGCAGTTGTGAGTCAGTTTACAAAGTTTTATATGGTGCATCATATAATTGAGCATCATGCATGATTTTCGGTGCTGCGAGATGAATCGAGTAAACGTCGAATAAACAAATAATACTTCAAGTCGACGCTTTAAAAAAGCGATGCGATACTGTATGTATAAAGATCCTTTCTTTTTTACATTGCCGAGTTATTCCGGTCGATGTACGAGGCGATTCTTAATTATGTGTCAATCAGGTACGTTCTAACGCGTAATCGTTTACTAAATCAATTATTATTTTAGGATGTGTCATAGCGTACGTGCATTACATGGGAGAATGGATTTCGAATTCCGCATCTATTACAATTCGGAAATCTGAACAATCCATGTATATATTCATAGATTGTTTTTTTTTTTTTTTGGACTCTGGATTTTTTATTGTCTCAAGTATTGACATATAATTTGATTTCATCTTGTACATACGTGTGTGTGTATGTATGTGTGTATATATATATATGCGCATTCACACGCACGCACACGCGCACACACACACACACACACACACACACACACACACATATATTACAATTTTATTATTTATTTCAAAGTAATCTTAAAACAGTCTACATTTAAGAGAGGCTTATCTCAATTCTCACTTGATTCCTTATTTAATTATTTTAGAAACATAAAGAGGATTTACAATCTCCATTTCCATAATGTACGCTCACGCAGATATCTTAAGTGTTATTTGAGGTGAAATAATATAATTGTAATATAGAGATATACCCCTATACATATATATATATATATATATATATATAGAGACACATAATAATTATGTTCTTCCAAGTACTTGAACTTGAAACACACGGTGAAGAGCATGTCCTCTGTATCAAGGTTAATATTGATAATTTTACTAAACGAGGTATACGCGCATAATACACCAGATACCGAGGTAATATTGTTGCCAGTATGGAACTCAAAAGGTGGTGCACCGGAGGTACGTTATCGTAAAGTTTAATTTATTCTTTAAAATATAGTATAATACTAAAAAAAAAAATTATTCTCGATTTAATAGTTATTATTCGATTTGCAGATTCCTTTAACTTTCAAAGTCTTTGGGCACTTGATTCAGTTGAATCTACGTAGAAACGACAATATTACATCATCTCAGTTTCAAGTCTGGAAACACAATGCCAAGGGCATCGCAGAAGAATTGTCGCAGTTAAACGCACCGGATCCTTGCTATTATCTTCACAAGAGTCATGTCGGTTCCGCAGCTATAAGTTTTTGCCAAGAACATGGATTGGTCGGTGGTATTCTTTGGAGGAAAAGAATGACATTTCTTTTTCTCTCTTTTTTTCCTCATGTATGGACATGCGTGTAGAATATAAATAAAATGAAGAATAATATATCTCTGATCTGATCTGTTGGAGGTAGCACGGGCTCATCTTTCTGGAAAACATTACATTGGAAATCACGCCTTTGCGAAACGGCCTTGCATCTTTACCTTTACTCGTCGACGACCGTTATGTCAAGGAAGAAGAAGCCGTTCTGCCGTTGGGTGAGCCTCACGTGGTTAAGCGATCACCGCCGAGACCGCCCATTGATTTAGATGTTGAGACGAAGCGACGTGAAATACGAGATACGAAAGAAAAATTAACATTAGAGCTGGCAGTCTTCTTCGATGAGGCTGCGTATCGTTTGTTCTCGCCTTTTCTGGATGGAGACGATGGGAAGATTCGTGACATGTTGTTAGCGTACGTGAATGGTATCCAAGCGCTGTATCATCATCCGAGTCTCGGTGCCTCAATCGACATATCATTGATACGCTTAGATATTATTCAGAGGCAGCCACTTGATTTACCGCACTTTGGTGGCGAGAGAGGTAGCTTGTTGGATTCGTTTTGCAATTACGCCAACGTTCGCAATCCTCCGGAGGACGCACATTCCCGTCACTGGGACATGGGCCTCTACGTAACTGGACTGGATCTTTACGCGATCGAAAACGGAAGGAGGAACGGCGCTACCATGGGACTAGCTACCGTCGGTGGTCTATGCATCCCGCGTTATTCCTGTGTGATAGCAGAATTGGGAGTTACGGATCAACTTGGAAAGCCTTACCCATCCGCGGGCTTTACATCAGTTTATATCGCCGCCCACGAGATTGGCCACAAGTAAGTTGTATTATTATATATAATAATTTAAGTTATACTTGAGCGCGATACGATAAAACACGAATAATCCGTTCGTTTGACAGCTTAGGAATGCCGCACGATTCGAGCGGCAATGCGTGTCCAAAGGATGGCTATATAATGTCACCCAGTAGAGGCGTTCGAGGTGAGACGGTTTGGTCCGATTGTAGCCGTGAGGTGGCTGAGACGTTGTCGCAAACGAAGTCTTGTCTCCTGGATCGGCCGGAGCCACGAAACACCTCGGATACACTCGCACACGATCATTCGCGATATCGCGATTTACCTGGGAGGGAATGGACCGCCAAGAGACAATGCGAGTTACTTCTACGCGACAAGGACGCGGACGTTGTTACATTGTATCAGGCTTGTCAGTCTTTGCAATGCGAAACGCCTCACAGGAGTGGATATTATTTCGCAGGGCCGGCGTTGGATGGTATGTAAATCATATCGCTAACAGGTTTGCTAACGTTTTTTTTTTTAACGGCGAAGCTAATTCGTTTTTTTTTTCTTTCTTCTTTCAAGGAACTCGGTGCGCGCCCGGCAGAGAATGTCGCGGTGGAGAATGTCTATCTATTGCCGAACCGCCGAAGTTATCCGGCGGCCAAAAAGGTAGCTGGAGCGAATGGAAGGAAGGTTCCTGCAGTAGTGGTTGTTTGCAGAGATCTAAAGGCGCTCGAGTTAGACGACGATTCTGCGAGAATCGAAATAATCGTCTTAGATCAACGGCGAGGGATTGCAAAGGGCTGTATTACGATGTACTCTTGTGCAAAGATGAGAAACTTTGTAAGAAGAAACGCAGGACGATTGACGAGTTCGCTACGTTCAAGTGTGGCCTTTTCGGGGAAAGATTACCGAAATTGGACGGTACGGCGAAGGGATTGCAGGCGGCACACGAAGCCGACAGGCCATGGATGGCTTGCGCTATATTCTGTCGACGAAAGGACATTGCCGCTTATTACGCGCCACGCGTGGAATTAAACGATCTTGGCCTCGATCCATACTTTCCAGATGGGACGTGGTGCCACGCCGAAGAGGGCCAAGATTACTTTTGTCGTCAGCATCACTGTCTGCCGGAAAACTTTCGATTCGGCCAAAAATTCGGCGGCGGCTTGCCGAAGGTCTATCGATACGAGGGCGAGGATGAGAACGAGGAATTGGGACCACAAAACGCACATAATCGACTTGGAATCGTCGATCGGTCAAGTGTCATCAAGTATCTGACATCAGGGCCAGACGGTATACCTTTGTTGACTTCTGTATCGCGCGGCATCGCTTCTCCATTTGGTGAAGATGAATGGATCGACAAGGATTATATCGAATTACCGCCATTCCTATCCAAGTCCATGCCTTATCCCATGGGCATTGAAGAAAAATAAAGAACGAATAAACGGAGCAAAAGGATCGACAATTATATATATAATCGAGAGACAAGGTTGTTATATTTAAGACGCAAGGAGAAAAGTAGACCACTACGTAAAGTGAATTCTCCCGATTTGTACGAGAAGATATTTCGAAAGATAGGACGAGAAAGAGGCGTTATGACGTCATCCACTTCACCATCTATTTTAAGAGTGTCCCGATGTTATATTCGTATTTCTATAGGAGCGCGGGACGGAGAATCGAGGGCAATAAAAATGTGTATCGTACAACCTAATATTTCTCATATTATTTAGCGTACAAATAATTAATCAGTTATTAAACTTAGGAGCAATTACATAACAAGATGTGGACTCGACATTAGAAGAAACAATCGAGCCTAATATATATTCGACAGATTGTGTCTTGCAATATCTAATGTAAACAAAAATTTTTTTCTTTATATTATAAGACAGAGTGTACGACAAAAATGATGTACAATATTCGTTGCAATATCTGAAATTTTCGTCTCACCCTTTCTCACTCTTTCCTTTTTCTTTTCTTTGCTTTCGATAACTCTATAAGCGTGTTATATCGCTGAACAGCGTGTCACGTGTCACGAGTACATGAACCTCGTTTAAGTGAAACGGATAAAATTTCTGATATTGCACTTGCGTTATTCTACAGCCTCCGTACATACCACATGTATGTACCCCTAGGACATACACGCACATACACGCCCACGCATTCACATGCACATACGCACATGTGTACAATGGAGAAAACCAAGTAATCCAGACACAACAATGTGAAATTAGCGAATATATACCAGATTCTCTATAATAATTTTATAATTTAATATATTTATATCTGTGTGTGTGTGTGTTTATACTTTTTATGTCTTATACTCTTTAGTCGATATTGACTAAAACTATCGTTAGAGACCAATCACGCAGCTACATATAGACATCAAGTCGCTGAATTTCAATTGAATTAAATTTCGAACGTCGAAGAAAATACATATTTATTTGATTTGATTTGGCCTCTAAGAACAAATCGCGATAATATTTAACCGATCTTCTCGATCATTTTATCATAGTTGTTCGTTTAATCGTAGTAGTCGTAGTCATCGTCTTCGTCGTCATTGTCGCTACGTCTTCGCGTGCGTCTCTACATGTACTAGAACGTACACGAGACATATCCATACTTTTGCTGATTGAAACGATTAAATATGTGAAATTACGACAATAATTCTTATGTCATACGCGTTTGCGCGTTTTTCGATCGGTAATACGAGCTCAATTGGGTAACGTGTCATACAATATATCCTTGGCGCTTTGCGTTAAAGTTTCAGGGAATTTGATGTCAAATGATACGAGAAGATCGCCCTTCCGCGATGGTTCTTTGGGGAAGGGTAGACCGTGTCCTTGGAACCTCTTGACCGTATTCGGCTTGACAATCTCTCTCGTTAGATTCAAAGGTATCTTTTCGCCGGTTAGCGTAGGAACTTCGACAATAGTACCGCACAAAGCTTGCTTCAAGCTTAATTTGCACGTATATCTAATGTCACTGCCTTCTCTCCTGAATTGCGGATGCGGCTTGTCCCTGATGATAAAAACAATGTCCGCGGGTTCCCTCCGCGGCGATTGATCGCCTTCCTTCTGGAAAGTGATTTTGGTACCAGCTTTCCAGCCCGGTTTTACATTGATGGTAAGAAGCTTGTCCTCCTTCTTAGTGCTACCGTCCGGCTGTATGGCCCGTCTGCAAATCTTCATCTTCTTCGTGCAACCTCGCAGAATCTCTTCTAGACTAATGTACAAATCGTGCTCGATGGCCGGATCTTGGGCACGATCCTTGCCAGTCCCTTTACAGGTATTCGGGCTCGCAAAGTTAAACGAATGCGATCTAAAGGCGCCGCCTTGCCGCGGTGGTCCCATGCCGCCGAGTCCGAAAGGATCCATGTCGATGTCCATGTCGTCGTCGTGGAAGGCGAATCCACCTCCGCGGTTACCAGCGAACTCGAACAAGTTGTGGAAAGGGCTGGCCGAGCCGAAGAATTGTGCGAACGTTGCCCTAGGATCGCCGTGGAAAGTGTACGTGGCACCTCCTCCGCCTCCACCGGCCGAGGCACCTCCTTTCAGACCCTCCTCGCCAAATTTATCGTAGACTTCTCTCTTCTTCGCGTCCGACAACACCTCGTATGCCTCGGCTATCTCCTTGAATTTTTCCTCAGCACCTGGGCTTCTGTTCTTGTCGGGATGGTATCGTAAGGCTAATTTTCTGTAAGCCTTTTTTATCTCCTCATCGCTCGCTCCCTTGGCTATGCCAAGTATTTTGTAGTAGTCCTTTCCCATCTCCTCGCACCTTTCTGAAACAACATTCACAAACGTATTGTATTAATACTTGGGTAAATTTTACTTATGTATTTGGTATTTACTTTCTTTCTCTTTATATATAATATGTAATTAATATACGATTTATCTCAAAATAATATTAAGTAAATCATTACATATTCTTTCAATAGATTTTTGGCAACTTGTTATTTTCTTTTATAAGAATTGAGATCACATTTTGAAAAGCTAACAACACACACAATCAACGCGGTTTTTTGGCGTGTTTTCTTCCAAAGTACAGGATATATTCGAGTAAAAGCGCTATCATTTTTTAATTTACTTTAATACTTTTTAATTTAATATCGATATATATATGTATGTACACACACACACACGTGTATTGACAGGTATTAATATTAAAGTAAATACCGATTAATTACCTACACACACACATAGCTCACAATCAGAACCAAGTATATAGAGTTTACCGTTTACAAGTCACGTGCGCGTGTCACACTCTTGTCAGTAGGATAATATCCGCATGAAAAAACACAGTGTCAAACGAAAGGAAATGATGGTAAGAGATGGAAGGACATGTTTTCTCCGAGTTACATATACGAATTACAACTCGCACATTGGCTCGCGTTTGTTTTCACGCAAACGTGCATTCATCATATATTTGGTAAGCGTCGCCAGAAGCGTCGCTTTGACACGAGCACGGGAACGCAACGCGATTCGACTTATCCGTCTCCGCGTTGCCGCGAGAATTTCCTGCCATTTTTTTCGTATCGAATCTCGAGCGATGGAGAATCATTGGGGACCATTGAGAACACACACAGCGCTCCAACACACCCACGTACACATCACCGATATCTATTTCTGGCAATGATGACCGCGAATACGCGACGAATGTTTCGCTCGTTCTTGCACGATTCGAGCTGCAACGCAAAAATAAATACCCCACCCTTAAGATTGCAAGTCCCGTGTCGTTGCCATTGTCGTCGTAGCTCGCATAGCCGTCTCGTACCATCACATTTTACACGCGCGGGAAATGGATTCGGTGCGAAATGGAAAGGAAAAGAATCTACCCGACAAACGTAAACGTGGAAAGCGTGCGATCGATTCGCAAACGGGTCGCAAGGTTACGGATCGGAGCAACAAATACGGAATAACTCCGCTCTCTTGCCCTTATGCTTTTAGCTCTGCGTGTGTGTGTGTGTGTGCTTGTAGTTTTGTCTACTACTTACTCTCTATCCTCTATCTCGTGATTATTCGCGTCTAGGAGTACGTATATACGTGTTTCGCACAAGTCACTCGAAGCACAAGAGCACGCTCGCAAGAATTGACAAAGAGAATAATCGTCAAGAAATCCAATGAAACCCAGATCTCTCTTTCTCTCTCTTGACACCCTTGTGCGCGCGTACCAAACTGTACTAAACTGTCGCGTAACCTCGCCGTCCATATATATATAAACTTTCCATCTACCAGCTTCCGGAACTTTCGAGAATGAATCGACGCCAGCTGCGCAGCGCTCCCTCAATGACGTCAACCCTCGATGACGTGCGCGCGGCGCGACTTGCCGCGCCAGTTTCAAATCTAACGTTCCTTCTTCCCGCAACGCGATTTCGCGTCTCGCGACAACGTATACAATAATTTATGTACTTCATAAGGACAAATTTCTCGAGTTCAACCACAATTTATTAATCAAGATTATCTGCTTAACCGTAAAAACAGAGCATGTTTACATTCTCGCGAATTCGACGGCATATATTTGTCATAAAAATCCTGAACAAACTCTTCCACTTTGAAACCAAACTTTTGATATAATATCAAAGCAGGATTCGTGGCCGATACATGTAACGTAACATCTTGTCCCATGCAGGTTTGTATCAAGTGGTACAACATGAAGGTGCCGATGCCAGACTTTCGCCATTCCGGACGTGTTAAAAGAAATGAGATGTAGGCTTCGTTGTAGCCAACGTATGGTACTAGTATCGCGAAACCTACGACCAATTTTTTATACAGTACTACGCACGTAAAGTCTGGATACTGCAAACATTCGGTCACTAAAATAGACAAAAAAGAAAAAAAAATACAATATTAACTTTAATACCAATAAAATACTTTGACGCTTTAGAATTTCTAGAATTTTAGATAGGTACGTGTCACATTCAAGTAAATCAAGTACATAATATCACTTACAATCTATACCAGGCCAAAAAAAATTGACAACAGAGACTGTTGATTGCCGGAACATGTTGCGGTCTGATGTAAGAATAATCGATGGATGCTCTGGACGACGGTTTCCATTGTGGATCATCTCCGTTTACTTTCATACATAATTCATCCATGATTCTTAACCATAACGGCTGACAACAAGTATCTCGCCTTATAAATGGCTTCAAAAGTCTATTCGTGTATGGGCTGTGTACAGATGTAGGTTCGTTGTTACCCTGCAATCTCTGTTCGAAAATACATCCTAGATCATCACTAAAAAATCGATCCAACACCCGATCGTTGTTCCTCAATGGTGTCACGAAAGCCCCCGATTTAGATTCGGAACAATCAACGTCCAACAGAGGAAGCCGATATTCTCTTTTCGTTTTTCGCACTGCTAATTTTCTGTACAATCTCCTAATAGCGGGCGGGGCTTGGTCAAGATTAGTCTTACTGATCCTTTGCAATAAATATGCTTCTTCTTGACGAGTCATGCGTGGTATTTTTTCATCTGAAATATACATATGTATGTATATAAATATAAGTGTAAATGCATACACACACACACACACACACACACACACACAGTTACATATTGATGCAATTTGCGATAAGGAATAATTACTGGTAACAAACGATTTAGACCAAGGTCGTTGGCGGCGCTTTGTTTCCTTAAATAAAGAAACAGGAGGTTGTTCTTGTGTGGAAATGGGACTATGATTACCATCTTCCTCATATTCCTCTTCCTTAATTCTTTTAATTTCGTCGCCACTACAATTTAGCGAGAATGTACTCGTATTACATAACCAGTCGCAGTTATCCATTAGCTGTGCCAAATGAAAATTGTTGCTTTCATATTGACAGTCGCGTATTAAATCAGATATAGATGCAACATCGTTCTCGTCGCGCAACATTAAATCATCCTCGAGTTCAATATCTACAAGATGTAATTTTTTTTTTCTCTTAATGTAATACATCTAACATTTGTGTTATATACATACTATGCTTTTTATCACATACCATTTGGCTCATCTTCTTCCAATAAAAAATCAGATAGTGTCTCTGTAGGTTGAACGTACGCATGGGAATACATTGAGGAACCTTTATGTTTAAATAATTCTCCACTACAGTTGCTATCTTCTCCGATCGAGAGACTGGAATCTGAGGGCGCAGGACTGTCCAATGGCTTGCAAGGTAATTTTGCACCGACGTGTTTTTTTCTATCCATTAGCATTTTATTATCTAGACAAAGAGACTATGTCACTCTCTGTACCCACACACACACATACATACATGCATATAAAAATTATATTACTTTTGGCGATCAAAATTTCAGGAGGATCACTGCCCAATAGCTTCCACCATCCAGACTCTCCTAATTCATTGGTGCCAGATTTGAAAAAGATGCCACTGTAATGGGACAATGTACCAGATATGGTGCCGATCCAATTTTTCTTCCTTTTCCTAAATAGGTGCAATATTTATAAAATTTAGAGAATTTAGAATTCTGAATCGTTCGAAATCTAGGCAATGTAAGTAACAACAATACAGAATAAAGTACTTACACAGTCTTCTTAAATAAGAAATCCCAATTTCTATCCACAAAAGTAGTGATATCCGACTTCCAATGAAAATACCCTCTTCTACTAATGCCGCTCGACTTTTCACGCAGATTGTAAAGCGTCAAGACAATGACATTGAGCCATGGCATTCTATCGCGTACAACCGTTTCCTCGCCTAGTGGACTGCAAGAGGCACAATTAAGTTCGAAAAAAACATCTCCTACGAAAGAAATTGGTACGGTGCCTCTTTTTAAACAGGCCATGTGTATCCTTTTGTCGCATCCGCCGCTACAACGCAATGTTGGTTTATCGTAAGGATCGCAAGCTTTTCCACAATTCTTGCATTTTTCGATACTCTCGGCTTCACTCGACTCTTGCGAATTTATCGTCAACTTTTCCACAACTTTTGACATTTTAACCTATTGTAATCACTACAAGTTTTAGAACGAGGTTAGTTTGCGTTGCAAAAAAATCTAACCTCTCTTCTCTATATAGACGACTATAGAACAAAGCTGTCCTAAATTCGAATTCGTGTTCTTTCCTTCTCTCTTTTCACACTGCCCTTTTACATATTTTTCATGAATAGGATAGAAAAGCAAAAGCAGGCGAAGATGTGTCCATCTCTGTAATCGTAAACATCGTGTCACTCTTAACCTCCTGACTTAACCTTTCAATCGTTGTTGCAAAAAATAATTTCCTTATCAATACCTACATTTTGCACATCAATATTAATTAAGTACAAGATAAAAAAATCAATAAAAGAAAAACTGTTAAAAATGACATATGATGGGATATGTACATATTTTATACATATGTATCATGCATCCACGTGTGTCGGAATCGGTCGCGTGTTAAGCAGTATCCACGATGAGATTTAACTTGAGATTTAAGAAAATTAGTCAATCACAACCGATTTTTTTTTTCACGTGGAATGACTAATCGATTATGATTGGACAATTTTCTTAAATCTTTTATTGTAGACACCGCATCAGCAAATCTTTTACATAAAGTGCGAAAGTGTCATGTAGGAAAAGCGAGTTATGAGAGAGCAGCATACAAAAGAATTTTAGAAAAATAACTTATTCAGAGTCGATGGAAATATAGGAGCGTATTACACCTGTATTAATTCTGTTTACATCAAGTTCTGCGGTCTGTTTATTTCAGATATATATATATATATATATA